GAATTACACTTTGTAATTGGCTTCTGCTTATATTATTGTATACTGTCAGAAACTAGTTGTTAGGAACTAATTCTAGCTTAATCCATTGCAAACTTCATACTGGTTGGCATTAGTGCAAGATTGGTATCTCGCTTCTGTGTCTCGTTTCTGTTCTTGGTTTCAAAGTGAGGCACATCCTTGAAAATATAGAAGAAACTGTTACCCAGGAATATCAGGCCCCATAGATAAAGGAACCGGAGTAGGGAGTTTGCCTACTCTGAAAGCATTCTGCTGAATAAACAACTTGACCAGGGAGGGAAACCTCCCCTACACAAGGTTATAGGAATGCTCCATAGATAAGGTGGACAGAAACAGGTCCCTGAACAAAGAACGTTTTAAAGACTACATTGGTAACGAATAGGGGAAAATGTATATAATACTCTGAGCGACTCTTGCAGGGATGTGGCTATTTCTTACATGCACTTTGGCTGTATGATTTGGATATAGTTTTGTCACCCAGACTTTTTATTTTGGCCTAAATAAAAAAACTGTTGCTTTGTGCAAGCCTCATCTCAAGTTTCACCCTCTTTGGCATCTCAGTGACTCGGGGAAACTTCTGGGACTTTACAACAAGGTTCTATATTTTTAAAGAACAGCAATTGAAACATATTCTGAAAAACAAGATTGAGAAAAACTCATTCTATACAAAGGAGAACCAGGCTGTGTAGTTTCTATCCACACTACTAGAAACAAAGGCCTATTTTAAAGAGTGAGAAGAGATCATATGAAAGCACAACCTATTTTTTTTACTACTTCTGTTATTGTGAATGACTTAAAAGCAGCAGTTCTAATGGGGAAACATATAATAGGTAATAAAGGGCATCCACTGAAATTTGGCAAAGAACAAAAAGGGAGCAGCTTGCTTCCCAGAGTTGTGGGTGCTCTATCGCTCTAAGTTTTCAAGAAAAGATTGGACATCCATTTGTCTTGGATGGTATAAGGATTCCTGCCTGCAGGTGGTTGGACTAGAAGACACCCACCCAAGTCCCTTCCAGCCCAATGATTCTATGCAAAGTTTAAAAAAGTGAAATCCCTCCCTTCCTTTCATTCTTTTCTTTGCCAATCCTAGCTATTGTTATACCTGCCATTAGGGAGAGTAAGTTAACTGGTTCAGATACCAGGTGCTGTGACATTCCTGTTGCAGCATAAATTGGATTTACACATGGGAGGAGGGATGGCTGCTAACTTATCTGCAGCACTGAATGAAAAATCAGCTGTCTTCCATATATAGAACAGAAAGTGGGAGTCTTACGCTCCAGCAGCCAAAAATGTGGGACTCTTATATGAGATGGGTTGCCGTCTCCAATCTGATGAAGATAAAGTTGCATCTTATTGCTTGCAAAAGAACAGTTCTCAGCCTCTGGTTATTAAACTTTGAAGTTACCAGGTTTTGGTTTGGGTATCAGTTTGGTTTAGGCAGAGCTGTAAATCTTCATCAGGCATTCCCCAGTGAGGGGATTTGCAAATATTAAGAGATTCCAGACTCCAGCAATGCTTTCAAGTCAACTGAGAATCATGTAAGCTTTTATCATGCTCACGCTTGCAAGTTGAAAGATGACGTTCCCTCTCCATGGACAGAACTGGATGGATGGAGCACAGTGATTTCTGCAGCAATATGAGTGCTGAGTTTAATGTTTATACTGTTTGGCACTCTCTGGGTCAAAAGATCATAACATAACATGAAGAGTTCATGGCACCTCAAGCAGGCTCACAGAATATTTTAATGATTTAGGCTCCAATGTAGCAAGCCCCTGAAATTATTCATTTTCACACTCACATCATACAAATAAAGTCACTTTGATTAAACTGAAATAAATGTATAGCCTAGCAGTGACTTAGAGGGAAAGATACAAACCTTGTAGTGAAGCAGGATGGAAACACCAGGGGACATTAAGTACATTTGAATCAAAACAGCAATGTTTGGCTTTGCACTGAGCTTCAGTGATGCCGGCAGGGCCACAATTTAATCTTGCTGTTGCTGGAACATTGCATTGCTCGGTAGCTATTGGAAACAGAGCACAGTATTAACAGGCCAGTTTATTTATCATATGCCATTGTCTCTACAAATAACAAATATAAAATTATTTAACGTTGTGGCAATAATTCCATTAATTATAATCAGCTGCAATATTTTAAAAAATCCTAAAAGAATTGCTGTCTAGAGAACTGTTTCTTACATATTCTAATATTTCTTCTCTTGTTCTATTTTCATTTTCCAAATTCTCACTTCCTCCTCTTTGGCTTATTATTCAGCAGTTTTGCCTTTGCTTCTACTATTCATATTTTAAACTCTTACTGTTTGACCTTTCACATTACACCAGTGGTGGGATATGACTGGTACGCCCCGGTACAG